GAGGGTCTCTGACTTATAGTGAAATCAAACCTTCCCCCGTAAGCATAAGCCAATGGATATAGTTCGCACATGCGGCAAAGCAAGCGAGCATAGCTGAGAAGCCATTAACTTTCCCAGCTGTCAAAACAGGAGCTGGAACATCTGCAAGGTCAAGCGTAAGATAGCACACAGTAGCTGGGCAGGAAAGAGCTGAGAACAAGAAGGAGGATAACCCTCCACATTCCAGATCTATGACAGGGTTACCTGACAATTGCACTTAATCAGTTTGTAATGCCAGCACACCCTACCACTTTCCTGGGCTTTCATGACTTTACCCAGGTGCCTTTATGAAACTCCCATAGTTCCAGATCCCTTGGCATGTAGTAAGTCCAAAATAAGAGGGGGATCCAAGGGGGTCTCGGCTGGAGGAGGGGGCTCTGCAACTTACCTGGCTGCTTCTTGCTCTGACTGAGGGCTGCTGGGAGCAGGGGGTGGGGCTTGTTGCATGTGCCCGCCCCCTGGGCTCTTTACTGCCGGAGCTCCGCTTCTGCATTGCCCATTAGGAAATGATCTGGAGTTCTGGCAAAGATTGCTTTTGGGTACAGCCTGGCCCCAGTGTCTGTCTGTGCTCTTCTCCTAGGGGGCACCCCACTTTGGAGCAGCTGGCACAGGAAGTGAGCTTTGGACCAGGAAGCAGCATATGTCCTCTCAAAGGGGAGAGTCCCATGAATGTGTGGGTGTATGATTTATGACAGTCCAAACCTTATTTTGGGGTTCAGAGCGTTCAAACTGTCCTCAATGTTTTGGGTTTAATTCATGAGTAAGGAGCAAATAAGGAACCGGGAACCAATTCAGACTCCTCTAAGGTGGCCTCCGCGCTTGAGGGGCGATGGACGGAGCATTTTATTTTATTTATGAGATTATGAGCATCATAGCTGGGTCTCCGTTAGTGACTCTCAGGGTCCTTACAATTTGCGTACATTATTAATTTCAAGTTTGTTTTTTATCTGCTGCAGATTTTGTGTGTAAGCCACAGGTATATGAGCTGAGTCAGGAAAAGAATATCTCTGAGGCTTAATATTTGGATCTGAAATCTTTGCTGTTATTGAAGGCATTGTCCAGTCACACGTTCTCATTACATTGTCTTCCTAGTTCCATGAGGGAGTGGCTGGAATTCCTTCTCATTTTCAACATAATGTAACAGAAAAATTTCACAAGTAGGCTTAAGCCCTGTACAGCTATATCAAAGTTTCATGTAATTGACACACTTTTGGTACTTTGATAAAAGTTCTTCAACTTTGGATTCTTTTTTTGTCCCAAGTCAGACACCACTGTTTACCCAAGAATATTGATCACAGTGCCAATTGTTTTTTCTTCGAGGAGAATCTTTGAAAGAATAAAGGAACACCACTATGACTTGCATGGTGGATCATTTACAATATTCCGATTCTTGTGATGAGTTAAACAGAATTGGCCTCTTCTACCGTAAAAGGATCGGTTCTTGTACAATATAAGACCACTCTGGAAATCTCTCCCTAGAGTTTTGGAAGCCTGTTGAATCAGACTTCTTGCACACAGTAGGGAAGTAGACAGACAATATACATTTTACCAATTCTGTAACTCTAGCTTTGCCACCTTACTGGCAGCCAGGCCATACTAAAGTGAGCTCCACCCAGACCTCAAAGCCTTTAAATAGTCACTTTCCACAGAGACTCCAGTCAGGAGAGAAGCTTCTTTCTCACACACATGCATATATTTATATAGGTAGAGCTTAGAATCTGGTCTAGGGCAAGATCCTTCATAAATTATTATCATCACCAAAATACTTCTGTCACCTCTCAGTTTTTATAAAGTTCCTAAGGTGGTTAAGAATCAAAGTAAACAATGACCATTAAAATCCAACAAAAAGAAGCAACCTTAGCTGAAATACTGAATAGTCCACAAGAAGAAACAAGCCAAAAACACACTGGAGAAGCAGGCAGAAAATCTTGTAGATGTTAAACGTTCTCTCGAAAAGCTCTGTCTTTATTAGTGCAAAAATGGAATCCGGGGTTCAAAGGGAGCTTCATTTGGGAGGCCATTCCACTGGTTGCTACTGTTGAGAGGACCCCTTCTCTAAAGCCTCCCAGTATTTCCCATAGGGGGCTTGAAGGAGGATGCGGGAGGAAGAATTTGATATGCAGGTAGATTTAGAAGGAAATCAGGAAGTAATTTAGGACCCATAAGGGAAAAAACCCAACATTTCAAATTCAGTCCAGAAACAGGCTGGCTGCTCATGAAACTGTAGGGTAAGCATAACATGGCTCATCCACCTGTCCTTGCTAACATCCAGAGAGCCACACTCTGGACTGGTTGTCATTTCTGAACACTTTCTTGGGATAATTGTAACATTTGCTGATATTTCTTGTGGTCCTTTGTCCCTTTTTATTTTTGGCACTGGTTAACTAGGGTAGTATAAGATAGTTTTGGTAGCAATACTTTGAAGTAGTTCTGGTCATAGATATTCAAGAGAGGGAAATTAAAACATACAGCAAAAAAAAACCCAATAGAGAACAAGGTGAACGTTTCTGTTGATATTTTAGTTGAATATAAATGGCAGACTTTATGATAATTGTTTGACTCATTTTTATTCCAACACATTCTTTATCGACAGGCACACAACTCATATGTAGTAAACTGAATGTCCTGCTCACCAGGCTGGAGGCAAGACTCGAGAAAACCACCAGGTCCCTCAGTAACAACACCCAGCAGGCAAAGTCCAAAGGCGACAAGGGTCAAAGATGTCATACAATTGGTAGGCCCATCAGCAAAGTTGTAGACAAGTTGATTACACACTAGCTTCAGTCTCTCTGCAGTCTTATTAGGGAATTTCCCTGCAGGTGATGCTGCGTCCATCATTAGGCTGATTCCCTGCCTGAGGCATAGCAGTGACCAGATCCTGCAGTGACTTACTGGTTTCTTCCTTATCAGAGGGGAGGCTTCAGGTTTCCAGGGACAACTCTTGTACTAGGTGCAGGCCTCAGCTGTGGCTCTTCACCTTCTCTGTTCCTGGGAAATGTTTTGGCCAGAGTTCTCTTTAAACTGTGTGTGTGAGCGGCCACTCATTAACATAGGAAGCCCGGCTCCACAGCAGTCTGGAGCCACCCAGGGTCTTGCACTGCCCATTGCCCATTATAAGATTACAACTGTTATATCTTGCTTAGGATGTGAACTGCTCTGCTCCAGGGGGAGGGGTTAGAGTAACATTGGCTGTGGCAGGTCCACACTGGGGTCTCCTGCGCTGAAGGGTCCTGCTGGCTCAGGGGCAGTGCTGACACTGGTGAAGCTTCCCTTCGGAGAGGCGCTGCACAATCTGCCTCGCAGGAATGTGTGCCAGGGCAGAGCTTGGAGCCAGTTCCTCTTTCTCCAATGAGGACTTCTCCTCCCACACTAACCTGGGTTGGACCATGACACAGGACTAACAGTGGTGCCTCTGTCTGTTGAATGTGCAGGTAGCGAAGAGCCACTAAAAATTTGAACTGAAATATTTGATTAGGTGACTGTTAATACAATATAGTTTAAATGTTATATTCAAACATGTCTGGGACTCTGATGGTCTGTTTTTTTGTTGCATAGGGGGCAACAGTGGGAGGGCTTCTGGAGTTCTGGCCCTACTGGTGGACCTCCCGATGGCACCTGGGTTTGGGCCACTGTGTGACACAGAGTGTTGGACTGGAGGATTCACTGTCCTGATCCAGCATGGCTTCCCTTATGTTCTAACACATTCAGTATTTTATGCAGAAATTATCTTTATTGGAATATTCATAAAATGTAAATACAATAGCCTATACTTCCCTTAGCATTGCTTGTTTATATTTATGGGAGAAATGAAGACTCTGAAAAAGGCCACTGAAGCACTTATTTTTAGGATACCCAAAGAGCTGTTTTGACAGAAGTTGACTTCCTTCTGCTGAAGTAACTGTGGCATCTTTGGCTTCGCTGTTGCTCTCGGCATTATTATGACTAATTTGAAATAACCAAAAGCACTAGGAAACTAATAGCTCAAGAGAAGAAAGGAGGCGCTCTTCTTAGCGTTTGGGGAAAGTGAAATAAAAATTAACTACAGTTTTCGTTTCAGCTTGGAGCCAACTGTCTTACCTTATTTTCAGTTTCATCATGGGCGGCTGAATTATAAGCACCGGAGTTTGTCAGTGTACCAGATCCTACATTTAGCCTGTCTTGACGTGTTGGATTCACAGCACTGACACCTATCGATAAAGAGAGACTGTGTTTACATCTGTGGGGCAGAAAATTTCCCCCAGAAACATGTGGCACTATTGACTCTTGCTAACATTCTCTTGTCTAGCCTACAGGTTTTTTCCTGACACTTTCTCTGTAGTTGTATATTTTATCAGCTTTGCTGAATCACAGTGTATGCTTTCGCGGTTGTGGGTAAATACTTGTTTTCAAAGGATTACATTTGTACTGAGATTTTCTATTACCGTGGCATCTTTCAGTAGCCAGTTGAATGTAGGGGCCTCAGTTACCTATTTCCCATTTGAACAAAATGTTAATTCTTGCCCTGACCTGGATAGCCCAGGCAAGCCCGATCTCATCAGATCTAAGATGCTAAGCTGGGTCGACTGTGGTTAGTACTTGGATGGGAGACTTCCTTAGAATACTAAGTCAGAAAGAAAGAGGTGCAGGCTTTATTCAATCACCCCTCTGAATATCCTCCAGGATCCCAGTAGGGGTCAGTCAGGTGAACGTGACTTCCAAGTGCAGACACACACACAAATACCCCCCCCCCCAAAAAAAGTTAATTCTTGAGAATTTTCTTCTGTTACACAAAACTCAATTCAGACTTTGTCTTTGGATAATTTGGGGCTGAAAGTACCAGTGCAGCAAGCGAGTCATGTGTATTTTTTGCTATTAGCAGTAAAAACCAATTCAGAAAAATAACTTCAAAAACATTACTGGAATAACTAAGCTTGCTATAAATACATCAACGTTAATTTCTCCTCCTCTTTCTTTCCTATCAGTTGGTGTTGTATGTTGCCCAGTTTGTGGCCAGGAATGCTCGGAAAGGCATATTATAGATAACATCTTTGTGAAGGATACTACTGAGGTTCCCAGTAGCACAGTGGAGAAGTCAATTCAGGTGAGTGTGTCTATTGGATAATCACATTTTTTTAAAAAAATCTGCTAAACTAAAGACAGCTAAAATGGTTTTGAGGCACAGAACAGCCTCATTCTGAAAATGAAATGATTAAAGGCACAGTGCAAGAAATTCCTTTGTTTTAAAAGGCAATCTGCAGGATGAAGACTTGCTTATCACTGGCAACCTAGGAAGTGCTGTCATGCAGATACCAGACAAGATATGGAAAGACACTTGATCTTTAAGCTGATAGTGTCAATGTTTTGTCATAGGATGTCTTTATTTAGGGTGCTAAGAAAATTTGTTGCGGTCTGTTATCTGGCCCAGGTTCACTTCATATTACATGTCTGATGAATTAAAACATACTGTTGATCTCGAAAACTAGTTCCCCCCCCCGTGTGTTGTCAAGAAAAAGGGGGCTTATGTACATCCTTTTTAGTGGGCTCGTTATACGTTCAGGGTTGTTTTCTGTTCTGGTATCTGTAAGTGTAGTAAAGGTAAAGGTTTCCCTTGCTTTAAAGCCAGTTGAATCCGACTCTAGAGAAGCGGCGCTCATCTCCGTTTCCAAGCCGAAGAGCCAGCTCTGTCCAAAGATGTTTCTGTGGTCATGTGGCTGGCATGACTGGACGCTGAGGCGCACAGAATGCTGTTACCTTGCAATTTCTTGCTTTCGAACTGTTAGGTTGGCAGGAGCTGGGACCAGAGAAGGGTGCTCACTCCGTCATGCGGCACTCGGGTCTTGAACTGCCTAACTACTAACCTTCCGGTCTGCAGTTCAGCATCTTAACGACTTGAGCCACCGCAACGTGTAACTAAAAACTTTTGTGGGGCGGGGGTTGTGTGTTTGTATGTGTTCTCCCTCTGAGGGCGGAGGACATCTTGAGGGTGATTCCCAGCATCCTATCAGGGAGGCAGGAACAACTTTTTCAAGTTCCTGTCTCTGGAGTCAGGGTCACCCCCTTTCAGCTTAGCTCCTGCCTCATCAGGAAGAGCAGCTTCAGAGTAGGCTTTGCCTTTTCTCTGTCAAAGTTCTCTGTCAGATTTCCAATTCTTATCCTTACTTTTCAGTTCCTAAGTTCTCCTTCCAGACAGTCTGTCTTTAGACTTTAGTCCTTCACCTTTCTGGATCTGTACTGTCTTCCCACTTCTTCCCCCGCTCGGCCCCCAAGAAGGCAGGGAAACAAGCGAATGCTGAACTCCTGAAGCATTGTCATCAGCCATTTTGGCTCCAGAACCACTTTTTAAAGAGCGAGTCCTGTTGGCCGCTCATTTAATGGCGCACTCAGAGGACAGCATGGATTTTTATTGGAGGGAGAGGCTGATCCCTCCCTCATGCCGGGACCCAAGGAGACGGCCAGATTGTCTGGTGCCCTGCTGCAGCAGTCATGACCGACCCCTCTCAGCCCATTCTAGATGAGAAGTGCAAGAAGAAATGCACGCTCAGCACTGGCAGTCATCCATGCAGACCCTACCTTCTATCGGAGGCAGTTCTCCTGCAAGACCAGCTATGCTTCATGAGGAAGAATGGGGAATCAAACCTGGTTCTCCCAGATTGGAGTCCCCGCTCTTAAACACTACACCATGTTATTTCAATAGAACTGTTAAAAATTTTTTATTTAAAATACTATCTCCAGGGAACAAGCTTGAGGCATGTTAAAGAATAAAACACCATTTTTAAAAAACGTACATGAAGCTGCCATCTACTGAGTCAGACCCTTGGTTTCTCAAAGCCAGTTTTGTCTTCTTAGATTGGCAGGGGCTCTCCAGGGTCTTGAGTGGAGGTCTTTCACATTACCTGCTGCCTGATCCTTTTTAACTGGAGGTGCCAGGGATTGAACTTGGGACCCTTCTGCATGCCAAACAGATCTTCTTCTACTGAGCCACAGCCCACATAACATATTAAAGACTATCAGTTAGAATTCCAGCATTTAAAGTCCAGCCAGAGCATAAAAACACAGGCCATTGAGCATCTTAAAGGAAGTTTTCAGACAAAAAACACTAAAATGGGGTTAAAAAAACCTGGAGCAACAGAAACACATTTTGGCCTGATGCCTGAAAGAGAGTAATCTAGGAGTCAGGCAAGCCTCAGAGGGGAGAGCATTCCACAAGCGAGATGCCACTGCTGAAAAAGCTCCGTCTCTGGTCGCCACCCGCTTCGTCTCAGAAGGCAGAAGCACAGAGAGAGGGGCTTGTGAGGCGTATCTTAACTCCTCTCTTCCCATATCTTGCCAGGTTTGTACAAGCTGCGAAGACAATGCAGAAGCCAGTGGGTTCTGTGTGGAATGCGTGGACTGGTTATGCAAGACTTGCATAGAAGCTCATTGGAGAGTGAAATTCACAAAGGGCCATACAGTCAGACAGAAAGTAGACATATCGTCAGGTAAATATTTTCATTTACAGCTCAAATCTACTTGGGTTCTTCGAGGTACTTTCTTTGTTTGGGTTCTTTGGGTACTTTTAAGTTCTTTGAGGGGGTAAACAAACATGGACACAAGGTATCGATAGGAACTCTCAGTCTGGGGCAAGTGATGCTCTGTATTCTTGGTGCTTGGGGAGGGGGCAATAGTGGGAGGGCTTCTAGTGCCCTGGCCCCACTGCTGGACCTCCTGATGGCACCTGGTATTTTTGGCCACTGTGTGACAGAGTGTTGGACTGGATGGGCCATTGGCCTGATCCAACATTGGCTTCTCTTCTTATGGACAAGGGTGACCCAGTAGATGTTGTTTACATAGATTTACCTAGTAGATGTTGTTTACCTAGACTTCCAGAAAGCTTTTGATAAAGTTTGTCATCAGTGGCTCCTAAGTAAACTCAGCTGTCCTGCGAGAAGAGGACAAGTCCTCTTGCAGATTAAAAACTGGTTAATTAACAGGAAACAGAGAGTGAGTATAAATGGGCAGTTTTCACAGTGGAAGGTGGTGAACAGTGGGGTACTGCAGGGCTCAGTACTAGGTCTAGTACCTTTTAACTTGTTCATTAATGATTTGAAGTTGGGAGTAAGTGAAGTGGCTAAGTTTGCAAATGATACTAAGTTGTTCAGGGTGGTGAGAACTAGGGAGGATTGTGAGGAGCTCCAGAGGGACCTGTCAAGGCTGGGCAAGTAGATGTCAGTGTGGCAAATGAGGTTCAACATGGGCAAGTGCAAAGTAATGCATTTTGGAGCCAAAAATCCTAACTATGAATATAGTTCAATGGAGTCCGAACTGGCGGTAACTCAACAGGAGAGAGAGCTTGGAGTCATGGCAGATAAATCACTAAAGATGTTGACAGTGTGCAACTGCAATAAAAATGCAATTCTATGCTGGGATTATTAGGAAGAGAATTTAAAACAAATCAGCCAGGATCATAATAGTAAAAAGGTATAAATTGATGGTGTGGCCTCATTTCGAATACTGTGTACAGTTCTGTTCACCGTACCTCAAAAAAGATACTGTAGTATTAGAAAAGGTGCAGAAAGGGCAACTAAAATGATTAAGGGGGTGGAACACCTTCCCTATGAAGAAAGGTTTAAGAGGTTAGAGCTTATTAGCTTGGAGAACGACAATTGAGGGGTGACATGATAGAGGTTTACAAAATTATGCATGACATAGAGAAGGTTATACTGTAGATACATGGAATTTACTGAAAGCGGACAATAGATTCCTCAGAGTCCTTGCATCTGAGGATAGTCACCACAGATAAGGTGTTAGCTAGTTTTCTTGGCTAGCGAGAGGGATCTTTTGGTTATGCTATGAGAGAGAACTTGTTTCGGAAAAGGGAAAAACCAAGCACATTTGTAAATTGATAGATTTTATTTAAACATAGTCTCTAATAGCAGCTTTTCCATCATCAGCATTCAAAAAAATTACATTACACAGCTCTCTAACACTTTATTTCAATCTTAACAAGATAGGCCAGAAGCAAGATTTTACACAGCAATATTGTCTCACCACTCTTGAAGTAACTTGTAGAAGAGACAAGAATGACAGCCCTTTGGGTTCCTGTGAAAACAGAAGTTGGAACAAGGAGGCGGGAGCGTACCCCTCTCTCTCTTGACCCAATCTCCATGGCACCCGGTTTCTCCTTTTATGTCTTTTTTCCTCGCCTATCCTGTTTCCCTGTTTAACCAATCAGAAGCCCTGACCTTTAAATTGTTTTTTAATCAATTAGAATCGTTAATATTATCTCATCTGACCTTTAAACAAAATAGTTGTTATTTGCTTCCGGTTGATGGCGGCACTCTAGCAGACTCACCTCCCGGACCTCCTGGGGGTGAAGCTGTGCTCCAACCGAAGGAGGGGCTGTGCAGGCTCACTACTCCCCCAGGGACCCGGCTGAAGGGACCCTGGCCATGGAGCTCTTGAGAGGTTGCCTCTTCGACGGCGTAATGCCGGATAATTGAGGCACCTCTCCGCTCTGACGGTTCTTCGTGCTGAGAGACCGAATGGACTAAATGACGCTGGCCGGGGCAAGCGCAGGAGATCGAGCGTTAGAAATGGAGTGTAAACGATGTCCGTGGACTGATTATGAACGTGAGTTAAGCATTGATTAAAAAGAAAAGAAGCTCCCCACCCCCACCCCACGGAACAGAAGATAAGGCGAGCGGGGGAGGGACGCCTCCCAAGCGCATAGACTTTAGAGCGAATGGGGGGGGAGCGGATGTATAAACGGTTAAAACTGCTAAGGAGTACTTACCAAGGTGAATGCACATATTCAGAGACTCAAAAAGTTTGCGAAAGTAAACAAAGCGAAAAAGATGGCAGGAAAGAGGACGGAGAAAGAGAAACATCTGAAATCGAAAGTAACTGAGAGCCCAAAACCGCAAGGAGCCAACGAGCCGGCAAAGACTTTGGCAGACTCTATGCGCCACCTGCTAGACCAAATGAATAATCTCAAAGCGCAGATGACATCAATGACCCAGTGTATCACCACTCAACAAAATCAGATAAGCGAGACTCTGAAAATGATGAATCAAACAAATGAGAAGGTGAAAGAAGTGGACGCCACTACCCAAAAGGTGAAGAAGAAAGTACAAAAACTGGGAAAGAAGCAAGTTTCTACAGAAGAGCAGTTGCTACAATTACAAATGGAAAAGGCTAATATGATCCTTCACTTTCAGGACATGCCAGAGACTAAGGGAGAGAATCTGAAGGAAATGATGAGTGTAATACTGGCCCCAGTGACAGAGATGAAGGTGGAATCTTTGCTAAGCTAAATGGATGTGGCCTATAGGTCATATTCAGGATACATAAAGAAAAATAATCTGCCTGGGGAAATTGTCGTAAGATTCTCAAAGAGGCATGTAAGGGATGCAATCCTGAAAGCAGTATCTGGAGCACCCCTGAGAGCTGGGGAGAGTGTTATCAGAGTACTGAAGGCTATTCCATTTGAAATAAGACAGCGGAGAAAGAAATATAAAGACCTTGTTCTTTTTCTTCAAACAAATTCAGTTGGATATAGATGGCTAATTCTAGAAAGCGTCACCTTCAAAATCAAGGATAAAAAAGAAAAGATTGACTCTGTTCTGAAAGCGAGAGAATTTTAAAGAGTCCAGCTGGGAGGGCCAGAGGAGGAAGGAAAAGAAGGGGATAGCAAGTCCAGTGGCGAGCTGGACTCGGTCAGAGAAAGGGGCAGCAGCTCCTAAAAGTCCTTATACGTTGCGGAAGAGACTGGACGAAAAGAAGTGAAGGCTGAAGGACTCTGAATTGTGCCTTTGAAAAATTTTGAATTGAGGTGCTTTGGGGTATTTCCTTATATCAGTTAAATTTAAGATTTGGGAAAAGTTAACAGAATATGTGATTCAGTTTGTAATGAGATTAATATGATTAAGACTAGATGTTTGTTCAAGCTGATTAGAAGATCTCCTCTCTTGGGTTTTTAGTCAGTAGTGGGTATCTTTTCTTTATCCCCTAAATGTAGTCCCCTCCCTTATTTCTGTTATAGTTTGTAGTTTTAATAAAAATGCAATAAAAAATTCCCCATTGGGGAGCAAAAAAAAAAGTTGTTATTACTGCCTTGTTTTTTCCGGGGTTTCCCATCTTTGGAGTTCCCCTTCCTCGCCAGGGTCATCTTGACCCTGTGTGGATGGTCATGCAATGTCTTTACATAAGGTTTCTTGTGCCAAAACTCCCTAATTTGGAAATATTTAGTTCTAATGTCCATCCCTGATTCTGGAAAACACCTTACTTCCCTGACATAGCTAAAACTCCCCTAAACTCTTATATGATTATGTTAGCTAATACTCTTCCATATAGATGTGATATAAAGTAAATGAGGTAAATATAAGTTAATGCAAGGTCCTGTCCATACGAGGCCTTTTGGGCCGGGAGCAGGACGGAACGGGGGCGGAGCAAATGGGCGCGATCCCACCGCAACATCTGGGAAGCGTACCGTCTCCGTCCCTTCCAGCGCTGCTCCGCACCAAAAAAGAACCACCTACCGAGGTGGTTCTTTTCGAAGGGCCGCAGCAACGCTGACCGTGGGATCGCCAGCGCAAGGACTCCTGGCCCGGCTCTTGGCCGAACTGCGCATGTGTGAGCATGCGCAGTTCGCCAGGCTCCCCTCCCCACCGTCGCTTTCTCCCCAGCATCTGATCGTGCCGGGGAGCGACGGCGCCGCGGCTTGGGGGATCCGTGAGATCCCGCGGCGCTGTCTCAACTTTGCTGCGGCTCACATTAGCCGCAGTTCGAGCGTCCTTTTCCCTGCCGTGTGGCAGGGACCCAAGTCAACCTGAGAGCAAAAAGGGAATTAAAGCATCTCTCTCTATGCAGGAGTTTTCTTCAGCAATACCACAGTCACAGCTCTCCTCTCGTCTTGGTGTTGATAATACATTTCGGCCACTGTATATTCAGTCCAGCTGTTGTATAGTTAGTTCAGCAATTATTTACTTAAATAAGTAAATTTGTTTGCTAATAAGAAAAACAATTATGTCCTGCCAGAAGGACATCTGGTATTGCAACATGAACCAGCAAAAATTTTCAGATCTTTGAGCAAAACGGCTTTTCTGAACCAAAGTTCTCTCAAGCCTTTTCAACCAGGCCTCACATGGTCTTGTTTGAAAGACAGGCATACATAAGAGGCATTTACCTGGATCCTTACAAAGGTTCTGAATAGATTACCCTGGGAGACTGGCATGGGTGGGATTTACCCTAACAGAAGTGACTTCACCACATTGTAGGCTGCTCTGGGATTCATCTGAAACTCTATGGTAAAAGCCATAGAGTTTTGAATGAATCCTAAGGTTTTCTGCAGCATGGTGATGTCACTTCCAGTTATGTATCCAGAAGTGATGTTGCAGGATGCGATTTTATCCTCCCCCATTCTGCCCGTCGGCCCTTTCAAGCAGTAGTGGGGGATGAAAACTGAGGGCGAGAGATCAGCCACCAAAGCAGAGTTGAGCCATGGGGTATATTTTAGGAGTTTTATGAGGAGATGGTATTTGAGTACCCATGGAATAGTTTTCCAGACCTTAAAGATCTGGCTTCATATTTAGATTCTTTTTGCTTGAATCTGGCTCGTTAAATCCTCTGGCGATACACATTCAGTCCTGTCCTAAAGATTAAATCTACCGCTTTTGTTCACTCCTTGCTACCCCTCCTTAGTTTGGCATTAAGTTGTAGGGTACGATACTAGTGGTATAGAAGTTGCTGTTAGGCAGTTTGCACTGGGGGAGAAAAGGCCCTTTTCAAACTGTGAAAAGCTGAGAATATTAGAGTCCTGCACTACAAAAGGTGATGGGTTCATAAATATATTATTTCTCAGCTTTAACAGAAAGCCGATAAATGTGTTTTTTCTTTTGTTTTCCAGAGGCTTTTGGTGCAACTCGTAAGCAACCTGTGTTCTGCCCTTATCACAAAAAGGAGCAGCTGAAGCTCTATTGTGAGACTTGTGACAAACTGACGTGTCGGGATTGCCAGTTGCTGGAACACAAAAACCACAGGTACAAAACTAACCTACATCTATGTGACAAGTTAATTTTTCTTCCCATATTTCTCTCTTCCCACCAGATTAGGTGGGAGCTTGTTTGTTGTTACTAACACCAGCTAAGTTTTAAGGGACAAAAAACTGGAAGAAAAGCAATTGATCTTAAGCTGGTATGATAAAAGTTGTTCTTCTTAATTCCTGTTTTCATGGCTGGAGTAATAAATCGCCAGCCATCACACACTAAAAGGGAAGCCTAAGATTTGCTACCTGGGTTACAAGGTGGTTTTACTACACATCCCAAAAATTAGACTTGCAAAGTTATTGTTTATCTTCATTTCTTAGTAACAAAGAAGACTGAACTTCTAATTAGCGTCCTGCTTAAGCAAAGGAAAAATCAATTCAGCTCTCAGATCTTTAGTTTTTAACTAAACATTAGGAAGAACTTCCTGATAGAGCAGTTCCTCAGTGGAACAGGCTTCCTTGGAGAGAGCCAGTTTGGTGTAGTGGTTAAGTGCGCGGACTCTAATCTGGGAGAACTGGGTTTGATTCCCAACTCCTCCACTTGCAGCTGCTGGATGACCTTGGGCAAGCCATAGTTCTGTCAGAGGTGTTCTTGAAAAAGAGCAGTTTCTGTCAGAGCTCTCTCAGTCCTAACTACCTCACAGGCAATGCTCCCTCTAAGCTGTGGAGTCTTGTGAGCAAAAATCGTATTTTGTGAGCTACTGGCATTAAAATGATGAGCCAGTGATTTGGCTACTGCATCAATTAGTTTGCTCTGGAGCCCTCCTTCCTAAGCGAAGGCAAAAATGTGTGAGCAGGAGGCTAAAAACCTGTGAGCTAGCCCACACTAACTCAGCTTAGAGGGAACACTGCTCACAGGGTGTCTATTGTGGGGAGGGGAAGGGAAAGGACTTCGTAAGCCGCTCTGAGACTCCCTTGGGTAGTGAAGTGCAGGGTATAAATCCAGTCTCCTCCTCCTCCTCCTCCTCCTCCTCCTCCTCTTGGGATGTGGTAGGCTCTCCTTCTTTGGAGGTTTTCGAACAGAGGCTAGATGGCCATTTCATGATCTGGGCTATGCCAGTAGAGGCCTACTAGGCCCAAGGAGCCTGGCTAGCAGTAGGTGAGGCTGGGCCTACAACTCCCAGAACCCCCTGGGAGGTTTTGGAGCCAAAATGGACCAATAGGAAAAGAGGAGGGCTGGGAATAAAAGTATGGAGCAGCAGGAAGAGCTGTTCTTTCTTCCAGAGGGCAGAGCCCCTCATCCTGAGGACAGGATGAGTAGTGTAAGGCCACTTGAGATAGTGAGCTAGGGACAGTATATATTTAGACGCATTAGGGCATTTGATTTCTTTTCACCCACTTACTGTTATTATTCTGCACCTTGTTTGACCTCCTATAAAATAAACCTTTTTCTTGTTTCGCTCTGCCTGGTCCTCACGCCTATTATTCAGCCAAAAGGGAGGTCTGAAGGTCTTGGGAGGGTACTCTGGGCCTTCTCAAGGGAAACTAAATCCAGAGTGGTGGCAGCATCAGGTGACACCCCCACCTGAGTCGTGACAGGCCATCTGACAGCAATGCGGATTATGCGAACTTAGGCAGTTCATGAGAGGGAGGGCAGGAAGGGTTGCATCAATGCTTAGTTCTTGTGGCCCTTTCTTACACGCCCAGGGAAATGCTGGTTGCCACTTGAAAAAGGCTTTGATTTGTAATGAATGTAAACTCAGCAAAAGTGTACTGTAAAAGACTCTTTAGATTGAGCTCAGTTTTTATAAACTACAAAAAAGCAACACTTACTGGATAAGTAGAGTTTATAGTAGTCATTGCCAGCTTTATAATGAAATATCCAAACCAGAGGTCGATTCGGGGGGGATCGCGGAGGATCGCAGTTCCCCCGGGTGAGGTGCGGGGGGCGGGGCACACGACAAAGTCCCGCCCCCTGCTTCCGGCCACCCCACTTCCGGCCCTCATTTAGCCAGGAGGAGGCAGGAGAAGAGGGAGGGTAAGTTGCTTTCTCCCCGCCTCTCCCCACCCCTGCCTGCCTGAGGCCAGGGAGGGCCTTGGCGGGCCTTCCTCGCACTCCCGCCGGCCTTGCAGGTCCACTGCCGGGCCTTATGATGTCAGGGGGTGTGGCATATGCTAATGAGCTATGCTAATGAGTTCCCCTAGCTCTTTTTCTACGAAATGACCCCTAATCCAAACAATAATGCAGTGCAACTGAAAAATAGTCTTCTTAACACTCTATAGCGCATAGTTGTGAGTTCTGTTTTGTACATTTGGTATTTCTTACTGCTGTAAACTGATTGAACTAAATTTTCAAAAATCCCAATGTGTTGCAAACTGGCTTTCAATAATTTATAAGTAAACTATGGTACTCTCTCAGAGCAGCCTCATTTTTACTTCTTCTGAAACATAGCAGACATTTTAAAGCATTCAGCATAATCTGGCTAACAGTCATGTGCATCATTTTGATTTTCTCCTTCTACAATTCAAATGAGCTATTTTTCAGTAACTTGAAAGCCAGTACAAATTCTCCAAACTAACCTTGAACTGGGTTTTATGGTAATATGCCATACAATTTTAGGATTTGTGCTTCGTCACCAATTATTATATTTCTAGATCTTGCTGTTTATGACTCCAATTGCAAAACCAGTAAAGCCAATAAATAAATATTTCTAGATCAGTTTTAACTATTTACCAAACATGAGATGATTTCATAATCCAAAGTGCTAAAACATTTCCCAAAGGAAGCTATGCATACCAATGAATATATTGCTGAGTAAATCATACGAAATATGTCAATAAACAGTAACCATAATAAACAGACAGACAACCTTTATTGGCATATCAGAGATAAAAGTATATGAAAATTTAGGAATACATCAAAAATGTGGCTGTCATACAAACAAACAGCAAGGAAAAAAAAACCTGATCAGTTTATAGGTTCCCTGATTTGAATTGCAGATTGAAGAAAACAGGCAACATTAAAAGTTATGGAAGAATTTTGCCCCGAGAGTAGCAACTGGACTTTGACACTCTCAGGGAGTAAAAAGAAGGGGGTCTAGAAATTTATCCCGGGTCTTAGTATAAAATGGGCAATTTGAAAGAACATGGGCAACAGGTTCAATGGCACCCTGACTACAAGGGCATTGTCTAAGTTCATACGGGATTTTATGGCATCTTCCAGAGAAGACAGCCAATGGCAATACGTTAAATCTGGCTAACATAAATGCCCTTCTTTGATGGGGGTCAGTTAAAGAGCAAAAATGAGTAGCTGTCTGGCCCAGTGTCTGGGGTAATCCCAGATGAATTGGAGAACAAGTTTTCCTAGCAGCCTCAGTACAGTAACCACAATAAATATTAAAAAAACTTACTGATACGTGTCTTGCATTATTTTAATTGTTGATGCCCCAAGGTCACTTCTTTTTTTCTTTTTTTTAGCAATGTAGTATTTCTGTTATCTACTTGGTGTGTATATTCTTACTGCAGGTACCAGTTTATAGAAGAAGCCTTTCAGAATCAAAAGGTGGTGATTGATATGCTTATTACGAAGCTGATGGAGAAAAGTAAATACGTAAAAAATACAGACGAGCAGATTCAGAATAGGTATTTATCTTGTTTTATAGTAGTAAAATAGCACTTGATGAATTATGGGGAATTGATTGAGTTTGGTAAACTTGTTTTTATTCAACCCTGCCTTTCCACCCAAATAGCGCCCCCCAAGGTGCCAAACATTAAAAATTGCATAGAATCTCCCAGGCTTGAACACATAGCGGTTAACCCCTCAGGGAGGGGGCTGTGGCTCAGTGTTAGAACATCTGCTTGGCATGCAGAAGGTCGCAGGTTCAGTCCCCAGAATCTCCGGTTAAAAGAGCTGGCACTAGGTGATGTGAAAGATTTCTGCCCAAGACCCTGGAGAGCTGCTGTCAGTCGCTAAGTAGACAATACTGACTTTGGTGGTCTGATTCATTATAAGGCAGCTTCGTGTTCATGATTTGTCATTTATGTCTGGAGCCTGCTTTTATATTTAAGCTATTTATAAAATCCTTTAAAAAGTTTTAATCTAGGGCAAAAACTAGAACTTCTCGGTCCTAAAATAGCTTACAGTCTAAAAGTAGAAGAGAGATTATAGGAATGGGAAATGTAGTAGGAATACACAAATAATAGACGAGGGAAAAGATATGATTTGATGTGCTTTTTCTAAAAATATAGGAAGATAGATTTGTTTTGAAATATTTCTCACATATGGAATAGTAAAGGGATCTGTGGAACGAGATTGCCTTCTGATGGCAAGGGAAGTTAATTTGCTGGTATTCTATAGGTTTTATGTTTATGGCTTGCATAATCAGACAGTTTTTATTTTCTAAGAGTAATGCTTTTCCAAAGAGCCAGGCAGTGAGCAAAATGCGGCAAAAGCTATTAGCAACAAAGTCCCCTTGAAATTGATGGCATTTTAGTTGTTACCGAGTCCCATCCTACAGATACTTATGCAACTTAGTTAGGACTAAATTTTCCTGGATCATCTTCAGAATAAGTTCTGGTATTTTTCTTTTGCTGACTGTATTAAATAGCATTTCTGCTTTGTTTGCATTTTACAGGATCCTTGAAGTGGATCAGAATCAAAAGCGGGTAGAACAGGACGTTAAAATTGCTATTTTCACATTGATGGTAGAAGTGAATAAGAAGGGGAAAGCTCTTCTGCATCAGCTAGAGGTAAATTCCTCTGTTTGGGGGGCAGTAAGGAGACCCTGCGATGGAACGTTGTAGATGAGTTTCCTAATAAACAGTGAAGAATTCTGGAATACTTCCAAGACATGGGTGTCAATATCTAGAAACTGGCACAGTTTACAAATACTTTCTCATTCTTTTGGGAATATTTCCACTCTCTCCTAGGATTGCCAGCTCTGGGTCGGGAAATCCCTGGAGATTTAGGGGTGGAGCCCGGGGGCGGTGGGGTTTGGGGAGGGGAGGGACCTCAGCAGGGTATAATGGCAGAGAGTCCACCCTCCAGTGCAGCCATTCTTTCCGGGGGTGGAAAAGAAAACAAACAACCGTGATATATGATGCCACAAAAGCCTCCAAAGACTAGAAATGTCTTTTACCAATATTCAGTTTACTGGATGCAATTCAAACGCCATCAACACCAACGAATCATGCATATCATCTCGTTTCGTGTACAACTTTGTCAAAGTGAATAGCGTTGAAATACCTACATTTAATTACAAAAATATATAATTCTATTATTAGTATTAATGTTGGCAAGAAAATAGCACAAGGCTGTACAAACAACTGACTGTTATAGAACATACAAGATTAAACCATTTAACAAACTCACGTAGTATTTCATAGTGACATTCTTCAAAATCCATCAGTGTAATGTCAATTCATTCTTCCTATTTACTAAAGCCCATAATTGCTGCCAGCCGGCTGTTTGTCAGACAAGACAGAACTATTTTACCTGGGACAAACAAACAGTTCTGTTTTGTCAAATGGGTTGACTGTTGGGAAGGCAGCAATTACTGATGTGTCTGAAAGGGTAAAAGTTTGTAAAACCTCATTTGGTTTTTCTACTCCTCAGGGCATTACTGCCTTTGTAAATGGGTTTTGTCCCTTTAAGATGCAGGTCTGACAGTAAACTGAATATTGGAAAAAGAAATTTCTAGTTTTTGGAGACTTTTCTGGCATAATATATCATGGTTGTTTGTTTTCTTTTCCACTTCCTTCCCGTGATCTCTCTCGTTGGTTTGCATTCTCTCCAGGGGGACTGATCTCTGTAGTCTGGAAATCAGCTGTAATTCTGGAAGATCTCCAGGCCCCATTTGGAGTTTGAGAACTCAACCTAGGCTGCTTTCAGTGGGATGTTTTGATATTTTGTCTGAAGAGTGCTTTTCAGATATATGTATTACACAGATCTTCGACGTGGTCTCTGTGCTTCACACCCATGGGATCTAGTGCGCACGCGCTGGATCGTTCAGTGCTGTAGCAAGCTCTTTTAATGGATTTTCATGCCCAGTCCCTCGGGCATGCGCAGGAACCCCACCACGCATGCCCAGAGGGGTGGGCATGGACATCCCGCCAGTTCCTTTCTTACTGCCGCGTTGGAAAGACCTCTTTCTTCGTTGGTCTGATCGGTTCGCGGTTCGCTTTTGCTTCACAGCTCTTAGGAAGCATTTCCATTCTTTATTTTATCTTTTTTAGTGATTTGTTCTTTAAAAAACTTAAAAAGAAAAAACCTTTATTTTCTTCTGAGGGGAATTTATCTCAGGCCTTCGGGCCACCCACCCACCCCAACCGTTCTCGCCATTTCTCTTCTTATGGAGAAGAAGTGGGGATTTTTCAATAGATGCAAACGTTGTGGTAGCAAACTTGCTCCTCCTGACCATCATACCCTCTGCATTTTTTGCCTTGGAGAGTCTCACAAGCCAGAGTCCTGTCGTCACTGCGCTCGCTTCTCTAACCAAATGAGAAAGAACCACGCTGCGCGCCTTAAAGTGGCGCTGCTTGAATCAGCCCTTGCTCCTGCCTCAGCGATGGAGGAGAGACTGTCTACATCAACAGCTCCGGCATCGAGACCTGCCTTTAATGTCGACCGCCTGATACCGAAGCCCTCGACATCGAAGACACGATCGTCCACCTCCATGCCAATCAAAAAGAAGGCTAAGGCAAGTACAGAGCATAAGTCCGCGAAGAAGGGCACCTCCAAGTCACTTAAGGCGGCAAAGAAGGGGAAGGAAGCGGTGCCTGCACTGGGTGATGCCCCTATAGTGCCTTCCGCTCCAACAGCAGTATCGATATCGGAGGCCCAAGTCCCTCCACCGATACTGACCATCCATGTATTGGACTCCCCTGTCCACCAAATGGAGCCTCCTTACTCCGACATCGAAACGGTAGAGCTCCTAAGTCATCAGATGGATGCAGAGCATTCTCCGTCTCCTTCTCCGTCGTCGACATCAACGGTATTGGAAGCTCCCGACATCGATCCACGTCGGCACTGATATACCTCATGTGTTACGCAGCATCACCCTCCACGTCTGCACACTCAATCCGTCGATATCGACAGCCGACATTACAGGGACACTTCTTACAGACAAGCTACTGCCTTGTCTCCCAGACGTCCACGGTCCAGAAGCTGCTCCCCCAGAGTCTTCCTACCTCCCCCACCGCCAACTGTCATGGGATCAACGATAGTTGAGGTACCTCTACAGGACTTATCCACCGTCCATGCCGTGGTTGACTCCAGCGGGCTATTCTGATTGGGATTCCTACTCGGCCCACTCGGTTCATAGGTCGAGATCCCCACACAAGTCGAGACCTTCGGCATCTCTGTTTCGTCCTCCTATAGTCGATCCGCCCCACCATACTCTGGAACCAAATCGTCCACTCAATCCTCCGGTCACTCCAAACCCTGCCGTTCCTGTCGTCCAACCGAAACCAGTACCTTCTCAACAGGACACTTCGGTCCACACACCACAACAAGACTTCTCTGACTTCATGGAAGAGGACTCAGATACAGAGGCTTCTGAGGCTCATACCTCTCCAGACCATGCATCTCCCAACCAAGATGTTGCGGAGGACTTACCTGTATCTCCATCGGACAACCTTACCTCCTACACTCATCAATCTCCATACACACGATGGAGACCAAGAACGTCCTCCGGAGGCCAAAAACCTGCCTTCCATAAGCCAAAATTTGGCTCCGGACAACAAACTTCCTGCACCAAACCCTCCAAGCAGAGTTTTTTACTTCCCAGTCACCAAGTCAGCTCAAACCCATCTGTCACCCTTCCTTCAAAATTGGCGTCACATCACCTCGGACGAGTGGGTGCTGTCCATCTTGTCCCAGGGCTACAAAATTCAGTTCCAACAGAACCCCAATACTCCTGTCGTCATATCTACGCCCCCTTCCCCACCTCTCCTCGAGGAGGTGTCCGTCCTTCTGCAGAAGGGAGCCATCGAACAGGTACCACCACACCTCCGAGGGACGGGGTTTTATTCCCAATACTTCACAGTCCCGAAGAGAGACGGAGGCGTTCAACCCATATTAGATCTCAGGGAATTGAATCGTTTTGTGACCTACCACCGCTTCCACATGGTGTCCCTACAACAGCTCATGCCATTGCTTCGCAGACACGTCTGGATGGCCACCCTCGACGTCCAAGACGCATATTTCCACCTTACCATCCACCCCTTCCACCGCCAATACCTACGCTTTGCGATTGGTCAACAGCATTACCAGTATACGGCCCTTCCGTTAGGCCTGTCCAGCGGCCCCAGGGTCTTCACAAAAACTGTGATTGTGGTTGCAGCTTTCCTCCGTCTCCGGGGTATCTCCATCTACCCATATATAGACGACTGGCTCCTGGTAGCGCCATCCAAGAACGCCCTGGTCTCCGACGTCACAGAGACTCTGGCACTATTGGAGAATCTCGGCCTCCGAGTCAATCGACAAAAGTCCCAATTGTGTCCGGTCCAACGCATACAGTATATCGGCGCATTACTGGATTCACAGACAAGCATGGCTTACCTGCCTCACGACAGGGCAACAGATATCATCTCCTTAGCCACCGTTGTCCGTACCCAACCCTCTGTCACTGCCTTCCAAATTCAGAGGCTGCTTGGCCTGATGGCTGCGACTATGTCAGTTCTCATCTTTGCCAGACTCAAAATGCGCCCTTTACAACTCTGGTTCATCCGCAATTACAACCTGTCGCAAAACGCACACACTGTCGTCCTATCCCCTCCTCCCAGCATACAGGACTCTTTGCTTTGGTGGACTGTCACTTTGAATATCCTCCAGGGAGCGCCCTTCCACCTTCCGTCGCCCAAGCTCACCATAACGATGGGTGCTTCCCTGACTGGATGGTGTGTATACTCCATGGGCCTCTCTGTTGGAGACAAATGGGACGCACGGAGGAGGAAGCTTCACATAAACTTCCTAGAACTGCTGGCTATATGACATGGAGTAGCCAGCTTCCTACCGTTGATCAAAGGAAAATGTGTCACGGTCCTCACGGACAACACCACAGTGCTTTCCTACGTCAACAGGCAGGGAGGCACAGTGTCCCTTCGCCTATGCAACCTTGCCATCCAATTGTGGGACTTATGCATAGCCAACAATATATTCCTTGTGGCCACTCACATTCCTGGTCACATGAACGTGCAGGCAGACCATCTAAGTTGAGCGGGACTCAGCCTCCACGAGTGGGGGATGAACCCAACATACCTCCTCCCATTCTTCCACAAGTGGGGAGTTCCCCAAGTTGACGTCTTTGCCACACGAAACAACAAAAAGTGTCCTCTGTTCTGCAGTCGAGGAGGCAAAGACCCACAATCTCTGGGAGACGGCCTCCTTTACCCTTGGTCTACGGGACTCCTTTACCTGTTCCCCCCCTTACCTCTGCTTCTGAGAGTGGTCCGCAAGATTCTCAACGCCGCCGCGGACGGTATCTTGATAACTCCATGGTGGCCAAGACAACCTTGGTTTTCAACAGTCCTCGAGCTATCACAGGGAACTTACCATCAATTCCCTCCGGCTCCGGACCTCCTCCCCTGTCCTACATCACGACATACAACAACTGAAATTGACGGCATGGAGGATAATGCCACCGGCTTCTCCGCCCGTGTAAGGAATGTCCTGTTGAATTCCAGGAAACCCACTACGCGGAGGTCCTACGATTATAAATGGTGTAGGTTCTGTTCTTCGCTTGGAGATTATGTCCCTTGAGCCACCTCTGTGAGTCTCGAACGAGTTCCAATTCCTCCTCACCCTAGCTGACTTGGGACTTTCCCATTCATCGGTATGAGTTTATTTGGCCGCTCTTTCGGCCTACCATGTTTCAGTTGACGGATGTACATTATTTTCCCATCCGCTTTCTAAACGGTTTTTAAAAGGTTTGTTACACCTCTACCCTCCTGTCAAAGCTCCAGTCGCTCCTTGGGACCTTCCCCTCGTTCTCCGCCAGCTTATGCGGAAGCCATTTGAGCCGCTTGCAACATGCGATCTCAAACTCCTGGCATGGAAAACAGCCTTTTTAATTGCCATTACCTCGGCTAGGCGAGTGGGAGAACTGTTGACCTTCTGCCATGATACCCCTTTCCTGTCGTTTCTGCCAGACGGAGTCCACCTCGTCCAAGATATCTCCTTCCTGCCGAAGGTGGTGTCAGAGTTCCACCTGCAG